TCAGCATCCTCTTCAACAAATCAACAAATTATCAATCGGGCACACTGTAGATTTCCGATCCATTTATGGAAACGTTTCCATTTTTAGAAACAATGTTCCAACAATGGATACGCCGTTTCCAAAAATAAGAACGGTCCTGTTCCATCACAATGGAGACTGCGTGCATCGCTACCTTTAAAGCAAACTGGCATTGCTTGCTGAAATTTGGCATGCGCAGGATGCCACCAATCGACAGCCGCCATTCTAGTTATATTCTATTCTCCGAATTTCCGATCAGAAACCGAAAGTCGACAAACGAGGCGATGCTTATAACATGTTCACGTGATAAAAAAAATTCACAAGTTTTTTCTAATCCAAATAAGGTCTGCACGTCGTCACACCAAATACCGTCGTATTCTGACGATGAATTTATTCATTCTAGCTCATGTGTAACATTGATATCAATTTTATATATTGAAATGATATCTACGCTTTATGTACTGCCCACTTTGGACCACATTTGTCCAGTAGGTTCTAGGAAATCTTAGTTTTAGTTGACTTTTGAATGAGCTAAGTTGCAGCGCGTAATATATTAGTACCAAACCCGACGTCCAAGGTAACTGCTGAGAGCAGAGATGCTAAACCAGTCCCAAAACATCAATTTTTAGTTGCATGTGAATTTTAAAAAACACATTTAAAGGGACTATCCCACCTTTAACATGGGGTTTGAGTTGAGATAGCCAAGTTTGCGGCGAGGTTCAGAAACCACTATCTATCTAGGTTGCAACCCCCGCGGCCTCTTGGTGTTGAAGAAATTTGTTCCCTTCATTTGAAAATGGGCCTTGCGCCAGGCCCTATCTTAAACATGGAGCGACCGTTAGTTTGACGTTACCTCGTTTAGTCATTCTGATTTAAATGGGTTTGTTCGTTGAAAAATCGCTTAAAACTTGGTCTGAGCTTTGTTATAGTGCCTACAGAGTAAAAAGAATCAGCTTTATGACAGTAATGTGGCCTGGGCCCTGGGGAAGGAGGTAATTTTGGGCTGTGACGTCACATATCATCCAATCTATAAAGTCGGCCACAATTTAACTGGTTTTAACAACATTTTAGAAGGTGGGATAGTTCCTTTAAGCTAAATTTGCACACATTTGAACTTCAGCGTTTCTATTTTTGGAACATCGGCGTTTCCATTTTTGGAAACAAAGTCTCCATAAATGGATATGATTCAGGAGCATTTTTAAGTGGTGAATTTGAATGCATACGACAGCTTTCCATGCAAGAAGACAAGTGCTTTTGGTGTATCCGTGCTTGTCTTACGCAAAACAGTGGTTATACCTACATCAAATCCAGCCACCCTTGGCAAGAAAATTTGTGCGGAAATGTTAGCGTTTCTATTTATGGAACAAGCGTTTCCATTTTTGGAACAGAAGAGTAGTCAAAATTGGAAACGTTTCCAATAAAAGAAATGTCTCCATAAATGAATCGGAGATACCACAGTGCGCCGGACTGTTATCAGCATTAATTGAGCTATTAGGGGTGGCATATGTCGATATCACATAAGACACCAAAATGCAAGTTACTCTGCAAGGAAGTATCCATAGCTCCATAGCAACCACCTAGCAACGTGAATCAAAGCTGTAAACAACTCGCGTTTGTCTCAGATGCGCATTTTTCGGAGCATATAACCAGAATCTGTTATCCTCGGCGTCATAATGAATGTTGCAAAACAGAGCGACCATTTGACTATCAATAAGGACGATTTTTGCGAAATTCATGTTTCTTGCCTAACTACCTTTCGAAAAAGTTAACAGACGCTAAACAAGTTAGTCGAGCCGACGAAGATGGTCGAGCGTGGCAGGGCAGCGTCAAACTCACCCGTGTCTGTTCTTCCCGAGTCTTCAAAGTCTTCTAGCGAAACCAAGCACAGAAAACTCACAAGTTTCAATGAAATTAGACAGCAACAATGTCTAACGAAACTTTAAAATAATCTTCTCTCACAAATGACACCTCAATCAACATCTCCGTCAAGGGTCCCGACCGAGTCCCGAGGCGACAAGAATATACCATACCCTGGGGCCAGGCAGTCACGTGACAGTTTCTGCTTGGTGTTTGAGTTGTGCCATCGTGGTTTATTGATATCTTTAAACAATTTTTAGACAAAATGTAGCTGAATATGTTAACATATATTTAAAAAAATAATTTTATTTAATAAACAGAAATAAGCAAAAAACAAAAGTTTTGGCCTAAGCGTAAAACTCTTATTTATGTAATACTCTTGACATTGCTTTGCATTGAAGATTCAGGCTAGAAAATTTTTCATACCCATTAGAGGTATAATACAATTTATACAATACTTATTTCCAGTGGCGCGGGAACTTCTTCCAGACTGGGGGGGCTGAACCATCATAGAGATCAACCTAGGGTACTATTACTAAGTGCTCGAGCGAGGAACATATTGAATATAATTAGATAAATAAAAGAAGTTGACCTTTTCCTCGACATCAAAAATGTAAAAAGCCGAATAATATATTTTAAAAAACGGTGAGCTTTCGGCCACTGGCCTTTATCAAACCAACGTGATAACAATGTTAAAAGACGATCCTGTGAATAATCTGTCTGCCATTTTTCAAAAACCGATTGTCATTTTTCAAAAACCGATTGTCTACATCGGACACTATGTAGACAATCGGTCTATCTAATAGTTTGCCCTTATGAGTAGCGCCTTTCCTAAAATATCACGATCTTCGGTTTTTGAAAAATGGCAGACAGATTATTCACAGGATCGTCTTTTAACATTGTTATCACGTTGGTTTGATAAAGGCCAGTGGCCGAAAGCTCACCGTTTTTTAAAATATATTATTCGGCTTTTTACATTTTTGATGTCGAGGAAAAGGTCAACTTCTTTTATTTATCTAATTATACAACCTAGGGTACCCCTAAATCTAGTTTTCTCATCGGTTTTAGGCCACTTATTTCTCAGACCTTGGCCTTTTCAACGAAAAAAAAGAAGAAAATATTTGCAAAAAAAGTGAGGTATTCCGTCTCAGCTGAGTGAAGAAACTAACCGTTTTGGCAGCCTGGAATAAAGGTTTTAAGCTGCCAAATGAGTTGCCGAGTCAGTAAAATAGGTAGATTTTTCACTCACATGCTTTCTTCCTTTGTGACTCACAACCCCTAATTTGGGGAGGACAAGCTGCCCCAACGGTTCCTGGCCTCATGAAAAGTTGTGAAGCACCGCCCCCACGGCCCCAGAGTTGTGAGGGCAAGCTTCCCCCACTGCCCTCTCCCCCGGTTCCCGCGCCTATGTATGAATCTATGAAATTGTGTTGGTAGATTTTCGATTTCGATTCCTCCAGCTGGGGGGGCTCAAATACATTACGAGCCCCCCCAGCCGAAAAGTTGGAGGGGCTCAGCCCCCCCTAGCCCCCCCCGGTTCCCGCGCCACTGCTTATTTCTATGCTAAGATGGCTCTAGCGTATCCGGCAAATAAAATGGGCATAGGTATAAATACGCATAAAAAAATAAGTTAACATAGACTTGGGTATAACCACGGATCACATACTGCCCGGGCCTATAAGGTGTCACATAAGGTGATCCGTGGTATAACTAATGGTCAGAAGAGGGCAAGCAGCGCGCTTGGGATGAGGCGTTCTCTAAGACGTCTCAGCAGCGTCTGCTGGATGGGGCAAACCAGGTGGTCCGGGTGCGTCTTCTTGCTGCCGCAGAGCCCCACACCGCCGCCTGGGTGCAAGCCCTCCCAGTCACCAGTCTGGGACTCCACCTGGAGGACGAAACCGTCCGGGTAGCAGTGGCGCTGCGACTCGGGGCACCGGTATGTGACCGCACAACTGCCAGCTCTGCCGTCGTCCTGCTGATCGACTGGGCCACCACGGTCTCTCCTGTGCCAAGAGTGCTGGCCGCCACGCACGTCACGCCAACCTTAATGACGTGCTGCGGCGGGCACTCAGCAGCACAGGGCTCGAGTGTTTTAGAGCCCACCGGCCTTGACAGAGGTGACGGCCGACGTCCCGATGGGATAACGCTCTCCCCTTTCAGCCGAGGAATGAGCCTGATATGGGACGCCACCTGCTGCGACACCTTCTCTGCAACTGCTGTCATCAGCTCTGCCTTGAGTCCTGGTAGCGCCGCTAGATGTGTGAAGAAATAGACATCTGACAATTGGCTGACTTCCCTGCCTCCCGGCCGCTACTCAGGTCCACCACTCGCCGTTGTCAGTGCACGGTTTTTCTAGCAAGCTCCAGCCTAGTATTGATCTTATTCAGTATTTACGGTACGAAGATTTGATAACGGAATGTGACGTTTCCACATCATGCTTGATGGTTGAAGTTTGCAACGTTAACAACTACCAAGTCAAGTCGCCGCCCCAGTCATCTGGCACGTCTCTGTCATCGAATAAAGCCAATGAACAAGAAAGTTATTATTTTCCAGCATAAATGAAAATATATAACACTGCTACAGGCGGTACGCGGATGTCATGCACTACACACAACGATTCAATCGAATAAAAACTGGATTAACCATAAATAATAACAGTACAGCACTGGATTAACCATAAATAATAACAGTACAGCACCAAACACTTGAGATGCACATTATAGTACTTTAGAATTTAGATGCACAGAGGAGTAATGAGACTAAAAGTTTTAGCACGCCCTATCTTAAAGGAAAAGGGCCACCTTCGTGAAATATGAAGATATCGTTGTTTTTCATTTTGACATTATTATTTTTCATTTTCTTTTTAAAACTGGTGCCAGAAGTGCACAATTTGCGAAAAAGTATTTAAAACTATTTAACATATTGGTACTATGTTGATACTCTCTACGGCACCTACTGTATGATGGCATAGCGATGACGTCACACTCAAACCAATCAGCGTTCAGAAGACAGACTCGTCGGATTGTGTCAGATAAGCTGATTGGTTAAAGCTGAGCTGGTTGGAGCTGATTGGTAAAAAACCAAAGCCTCGCCGCGGGTGGCTGTATTGTCGGATAAGAACGCATTCCTGGGATAAGAACGCATTCCTGGCGTATTTTCTTTTAAAATTGCCGATAACTACGAATGGAGGCCGAAATCGGCCGTAAGGAGGTAGACAAATAGGTTTTCGGACACGGGCTACAAGATGGCTATCTCAGTTTCAATCCCCATGTTAAAGGTGGCCCTTTTCCTTTAAAAATATTGAACGAGATATTTCCACAGTGCAAAAACAAAACCGAAATCCGACATAAAACCGATTCCAGGTTCAATGTCCACAGATTTAAAAACAAAACTTTCAAGTGCCCCCATGGTAAAAAAAAATGACCAAAGACGGAATTGTAACAAAGAATAAATAAAGATATGTGCGGCAAACGAAGAGCGGCACTGGACGAGCGTCTGCCCAAAGTAGGCGCCCAGAGTTACTCCTTAGCCCAGCGGGCAGCAGCAAATGAATTACAGCCAAAGGAAGAATATGCATTAGTCTATTAAGGCTCATCGCACCATGACGAGGCACAGCTCGGATAACGCGATTCGCCTGCGTCCTCCAGGCGAGAAGCACCTCGAGTAGGCTGCCGTGTCTTGACCAACTGCCGCATCCGTCGTCCGCGCCGCAGGCCTCCCAGCGGCGCATCGGCCGTCGACCGGCGTGGGGCCCGGATGTGACTAGTGCAGCTCCGTGGGGTGCCCTGCCGCGCTCTGCCGAGTGTGCAGAGAGCAGGTAGACTGGTGGCGGTGAAGAAAACAAGCTGTTATCTTCTTTCGGGATCTGTAAAGAAGCATTCCACTAAAAACTACATCCAAAACGTTTTCATATTTTTTTACAGAACACAATGCAGTAGCCAAAATAGATATGAAGTATGTGAAGACAACAGTCTACTGCCATTAGATAACTGATCCTGATGGACAAATACTTTAGATACTAGTATATCATAAGGTGGTTCAAAGGCCGGTGCCGTTTTCTTCCAGGGGAGGCGCCCCGGCCGCCGTGCTGGGGCGTAACGCAGTCCGTGCTTTTAGCACAGCAAAATATCCACCCAGGCTAGATTAAAGTCACGACAACCTAGGATTAAGAGTGGCTACAGACTTCAGACTTTATGCAGACTTAACATTGAGGTATTATATGTGCAACTAAATGACACACATGGTGTTTGTTCTAACCTTCTCAACAGAAAGTGGACGTGTCAGGACAGCACCCCTTGGTGACCATTATACTCAAGGGGTGTAGGAACTGATTCCCCAGGGGTGAAGCGATAGAAGCAAAAACATGAGTCACTGGATCCCTCCTGTGTCTTCCCTCCAGCAGGAAAAAATATATGCGTGATGCCCAATGTGACTAATAACTGCATATCATAAAGCTGGAAATATTGTACAAAGTTGTGACAACACAAGCAAACTATGCATGTCACTGCTCTTGTTATTGCTATATGAGACCCCACAAGACACAAAAATATGTCGCTGCAATGTGAGCTATTCTTATAGGGTTATTGTAGTTGTCCAGTGACCAAGGCCAAACAATATTGGCCGAAATATTTGGACTTGCATACACAATACAATCCCAGTGAATTCCAGTGAATTCATTCTACATTTTCACTACATCAAAAGTGAATGAAATTAAGTGATAATCAAAGACTCTGGAAAAGAAGATCAGCATAACTACATATGTCTTGTTTCCAAAGCTAAAGTATGATCCTCAATGTTGCAAAAGTTGCTTGGCTTTTACAATAATGAACAATACAATAACTTTGAATAAAAAACAACATATGGTAAAGTGAAAACACTTATCCAGCACTAAGCAGATTATTTCTAAGCTCGTTTAAGTCCCAATTTCTGCTATATTTCGCTTGGAGTCACTTCATAGTTTGAACTCAAGGTGCCTTGTGGATTTACCTCAGGTATGTAGGTAAATCCACAAGGATTTATGGGCTTTACCTCAGTTATGTAGCTGCTCCCTCAATTTAAGTTTCTCGTTAAATTTCATTGAGGCGTTGCAAGATGGGCTGTAGCCGAATTCTCTTCCCTGTTTAGCTGATGCTGATAATACCTGAACATTTCTAATTCCAATTTTTATAGCTGTTAACAATTGCTAAAGGCTCATGTACCTAGACAATAATGACTTTACAGAGGAAACCCCTGGCTGTGTTTCATGGGCGCGCTGCCAGCAGCTGCCAGCACATTCCGTGGAGCTAGCGTCAACCTCTGGTAGTGTTGGAGGCATAGGCTTGTTGATGTCTATGGAAGCCAAAAGTGGCTGGCAGAGTGCCGCGTTAAACCACCCTTATTTTTTGCACAATAATGGTGTGATAACTGTTCCTGCAAAAAAATATAAGGTGAAGTGAAGTAAAATCAGGTCAAACATTTATATATACCCAAAAGTAGCAGTGTATGGAGTACCTATATTCACATTACCATTCCAATAATATGATGCACAACAGGCCATAGAAAAACCAGTGAATGTTGAATTGTACCCCAATTTCAATATAAATATGGCACTTGGCAATAACAGTTAAACACACCGCTTTTTATGTTAAATCAACAGAGAAAACTCCTGAACATAAAAAATGATCAGAATGTATAAGGATAATAGCATAAATAAAAATCGACGACATCAGCGCCTATCATCGCCCTTGCGCATTCACCACTCCCCATTCCACGCACAGATTGTTTACCCCTTGGTTTACCCCGTGTTCGCAGTCTCCCTGACGACGGAGATTCTATACGCCCACCGACCAATCACGTTCAAGATCAGCGGGGCTTGGCCGCAGTTCTCGAACGCCATTGGCCAGATTAAGCAGGACCTTCGTCGTCAGGAAAACTGTGAACACGGCGTTACATATTTCGCTATGGTAACAAAAGCGCCAGAATTGACTACCAGAATCGGATCCGAAGGTCAAATGGGTCACGTGACTGACAAGTTCAGATGGACAACACCTGGAAAACGGCACAACGTGCAATAACGTTCTATATATCATTGGAAAGAGCATCAAAAGTTGTATAACCTATCAACTTTTCACTTAAATATATCTATAACGCAAAATGTTATAAAGCAGCAAAGACGCTCCCATTGACTTTGCATGTTAAAAAAATTCTTCTTTAAACGAGCTCAAAAAGAACAAACGAATTCTGACAGCTTAACGAAGCATAACAACATATTCTATGGTCTTTTCTCAACAAGTCCTGAAAGTTTAAACAAAATCGTATCATATAATTTTGTACAATGAGCGAATGAAAATGCCTCTGCAAAAACGTCCATTGACTTAACATGGGGAGCGAAAAAAGTTCAACTTCAAACTCGTGCAACTCAAGTTAACGAATTCTGACGGGTATACGGCGCACACTGGCGTGTACCAGAACGTGTTTGCCATAAAATGCTGGGAAGAAAACCACCTCCTTCTTGGCTCGTTTTCCCGCCATTGGCGATCGCGCAAAAAGTGTCCAAAACCCCGTTGACTTAACATGGGGAAAATGCAATTGCACGTGGCACGCGCAATGATTTTTGTTGCGAGTAGCGACCGGTACCATCAGGTAGATCACCTGCAAAAGTCTATACCCTGAAATTTTTACGATCCTAAACGCAAAACTCTAGGCTGCGACCAAGTTGCCCCAATCTCAGGCCAACTTTGCAAACATAGCCCGGAGAAGGACCGCTCCGGTTGTTTTTCAATAGAAAAACACAATTCTAACGAATAGTGTTTGTCTTTTCAAACAACCTGCGGTTACGCAGCAAAAACGCCCGCCGCCAAACGAGAGGATGAGCCTTGCACGTGCAGACCGGAGTCGGTGTGCTACGGACTGACGTGCACGGCACCCTATTCGCCGGTCTATAGCGGTGTGCCAAATTTGAGTGCAATCGACCCGGCTGTTTTCGAGATCTGGAAGCGACACCCTGCACGTGCGCACGTGCAGCCTGGGCCCCAAGTGACTTGTGCACGGCACTCTATTCGCCGGTTTCTAGCGATGTACCAAATTTAATCTGAATCGGCCAAGCCGTTTCCAAGATCGGGAAACGACCCCTACACGTGCGCACGTGCAGCTGCACCCCAACCGTGGCACATGAAAATACATACTTACTGACTTGTGCACGGCACCCTACTAACCAGTCTCTAGGGGTATGCCAAATTTGAGCACAGTCGGCCCAGCCGTTCTTGAGATCTGGAAGCGTCAGCCTGCACGTGCGCACGTGCCAAATGGGTCCCATCTGAGTTGTGCACGGCACCCTACTCGCCGATCCCTAACGGTGTGCCAACTTTGATTGCAATCGGCCCGGCCGTTCTCGAGATCTGGAAGCGTCACCCTGCCCGTGCGCACGTGCAGCGGCACCCCAACCGTGACACATGGAAATGCATTGCGGGGTGGGTGCCTACACCCATGCCAAGGATCAGCGCAATCGGCAAAATAACTAGAGTTATTACACTTGCTACCGAAATGACACCTCTTCGTTTTGCACGTGGCACGTGCATTAGGGGTCACCCATACGCATCGAGAACAGCACACTACGTGTAAGAAAGGAAGAAGCTATCCCACACAAAAGACCGCGAGTGAATCGGTCAAGCGGTTGTGGAGATATAACCTTTGCAAAGGCGCCCCCACAACGGCCGACTGCTAATATTCAGCAATAATCAGTGTCGCGTCCGCACATGGGAGGTGTCCCCTTCACCTGTTCGTATATTCTAATATGGTTGGGTTCAAATCACAGTCGAGCCCTGCTTTTTTACAACTTTTCTTGAAAACGGCACACCGTGCAGTGACGTTCTATACATCAATGGAAAGAGCATCGAAAGTCGTATATTATATCAACTTTTCACCTATATATATTACTAACGATAAAAGTTATAGAGGAATAAAGACGCACCCATTGACTTTCCATGTTAAAAATTTTCATTTTCAAACGAACTTTATTAGAAAAAACGATTTCTGCCAGCTTAACGAAGCATACCAGCATGTACTATGCTCCTTTCTCTACAAGATATAAGAGTTTGGGCGAAATCTATCTCTAAAATTTTGTACAAAGATCGAATGAAAATGTCTCTGCAAAGTCTCGACATCGCCGTCCATTGACTTAACATGGGACACAGCAAAATTCCAACTTTGATCTCGTGCAAAGACACGTTCCGAGATTCTGAGGGGTATACAGCGCACACTGGCGTGTACCCAAACGTGTTTGCCATAAAATGCTGGGAAGAAAACCACCTCCTTCTTGGCTCGTTTTCCCGCCATTGGCGATCGCGCAAAAAGTGTCCAAAACCCCGTTGACTTAACATGGGGAAAATGGAATCGCACGTGCCACGTGCCACGAGGTTTTAAGCGAGTAGCGACCGGTGCCATAAGGTAGATCGCCTCCGGGAGCCCAAACACTGAACTTTTTACGAAGATTGTACATTTCGTCTAGGCCCCAATCAAGATGTCTCGATTCGCTGCCAGACTTGCAAAACATAGCCCGGAGAACGACCGCTCCGGTTGTTTTTCAATAGAAAAACACAATTCTAACGAATAGTGTTTGTCTATTTCAAACAACCTGCGGTTATTCAATAGAAAAACACAATTCTAACGAATAGTGTTTGTCTTTTCAAACAACCTGCGGTTATTTCTGACGATCTCCGGCGCATCAGCGGCGAACTCGTAAATCATTAAACCCGTTATAAAAATCTTCAATAGCGCCCGGCAGCCTCCCGCCGGCCACCATCTTCTCTCTCGTATTTCTGACGATCTCCGGCGCATCAGCGGCGAACTCGCTGTCTTTCTTGACGAACAACCAGTCGTGCATGACGCGGAAGGCCATGTAGCCCTGCTGCGCCATGAACCAGCGCATCTGGTCAGCCTGCGGGTTCCACATCCCGCCCATGTAGCTCTCCGCCAGAACGATCTGGAACGGGGAACAGAGACGGTGTGATTTCCAGCCTTCGAGTATAATGCAAGAGAGCTTGGTGGGATGGAGAGTGTGAGTGAAGACGTGAAGAGGTCAGGTATCGTTGAGAGACGGGAGTGCGAACTGCGAGCCGAAAGACATAGGAAGCGATTTGCGAAGTACCTATATGGCTGATCAACGTCGCTAAAATACTCGAGAAAAAAAGCATGCATGATCCGTACCAAATGGAACATAGTGGCGACATATTATTGCCCCATTCAATTGTTAATTTGTTCGCCGGTACGGTAAGCTTCACACTACTACTTCAGTTACGAGGAAGCATTGAAAATGCTGACTGATAGCAAACGTTTGCCAGGTGTCCCCAGATTTACCAACTAGTCGATCAAAACGATGAACCCACCTTAATATCGAGTAGATGCCAGGGCAGGTACGCCAGGACTCCCATCTCCACCCCTTCCACATCCAGGCTGAAGAAATCCACTGTGGTCCGATTCATGGCCAGCAATATCGTGTAGAGCGGGTAGCAGTCCACCGGGTACTTCAGCAACTCCTCCCGGGAGCCCTTCTTCATGTGGATGATGTGGTCAGACTGCTTCTGAGCCGAGAGGCCGTCCTCGACCGAACTGAATCCGCTGTCTACCTGGTCGCGGAAAATCGCCTGTAGCGAAATGGAAAGTCGTGACGCGATTTGGTGGTGGTTGGTGCACCTGTGACTTGTGAGCCATGAGGTCTATACTTGTTAACAGGCAAGCGTATTCCGTAAAGCGATTCATGGAAAATTAGCCGGCCTCATGCCTCTAGGTTATTTTCGTACGCCCTTTCACACATTTATTTATTAATTTGCTCTTAATATTGTTATTCATTCATTCATTCATTCATTCATTCATTCATTCATTCATTCATTCATTCATTCATTCATTCATTCAATTCATTCATTCATATAATAGACCGTTCAAGGGATAAAACATTTCAGTATTTTCCGTACCGTAGAGCGCCTGTCACTTCATACTTCAGAGCTAATAGCGAGTTGCACTTGCATAAAAACGGCAGATCCATAAGAGAGTAAGCTCATCATAGCCTGGCCTCCGCATCCTCTAAAAGACCGGTCCTTTTGGATGAATAAATGACTCGTGCTACGATTGATAGAGCCTCTGTTTACTATAACCGCGGCACCCAGTGTCCCTACCTGGAACGGAGCTCCCGTCTGACTGCAGCAGGCGTGCAGGGCCCACGAGCGGCGGTGCTTGGTCATCAGCCGGGGGAACAGCGTTCGGGAAGGCTCGATCAGCAGCCCCCGCCAGCCCAGAGAGCGCTCCAGCAGCAGGGTGTTGGACATCTGTTCGCCGTCGTACGCGCCCGTCTCGATGAAAAAGCCGCCCGTCTGCCGTAAAAAAATATTTTTGTTAAAATGCGACAATTTTTATGCCTATAAGTTATCTAGTCACAACACCACCGTCTAAAAGTAAACGTCCATGACTCGAGAATCGAGATCGACTACATCTATTTCTTCACTTGTTGCACAGACCCCTTCATTGAGAACTATGGGGATCATTCGCTGAACCGATGAAGTATACAGATTAGTGAGGTCCATGAGGATTCAAAAACATAAACGAGAATAACATAAGATTAGGCAAACCAAATAATAATAGCAAAAATTAGAGAAAAAAAAACGAAAAAAGGACTTCAGTTCCCCGCTCCCATACCTTGTTTCTGGTGAGTGCCAGTATGAGCTGCACCTGGCCGGCCTGGCCGTAGTTCGGCAGGGCCTTCTCTGTGAGGTTGTAGGGCAGCCAGCTGGGTGGGCGGATCCGAGAGGCGACCTCCGCCACCAGGGCGGGGTCCGTGGCACGCGGCGGCCACCCATCGTGGTTTACTGCGGGAAGAAGGTAAAACACTGACTGCTAGTGGCTGGTTGTTTTTGAAGGTGCAGAATTTTATGTTTATTTATTTTGGGTAGTTAATTCGGCAGCGTTTTATGCAATTGTACTTAGGTAACCGTCTATTTGCATGCATATAACGTTCATATGCCCGGGCCAAGCATCATTAACAAAAATATAAACAGAATCACGATACACTCGTCACATTAATGCTCGTAAGGAAAGCCGGAGAAAAGGCTAAATCAGTGTAGCCCATTATTTCTCCAGGAAACATAGGTATTTAAAAGAGCCGGTGGCTTGCTCCATGTTTTTGGGAGGGAGCGGGGGGCTTACCTATAACGCTATGGCCGACCAGAAATGTGAAAATTATAGCAGATATCGTCCAATCCTTCTTGAGATGGGAACCTAAAAAAAAAAAACAAAGTGTGAAGCTGTGAACAGAGCAAAGAATTCGCACTTAAAATAATGTTTTGCAAATTTTGTTTCCGTTCAATGCAATCAGCGATCACCAAGGTACAATTAACTAATGGAAACTTTCCTCTGCATACGGTTTTTAAAGCTCGATTTTTTATTGCAGCTAATCAGACAAATTTTGGTTTCACTTACTGTTTGACATGGCTTCCTGGCTGTGTGCAGCACTACACTAACAAAAACAAAAAAATCATCCGCGCTCTAGCGACCTATTGAGCTCTTATCCATGCCAACGGCAGCTTTCCTCGGCTTAGGAGTTCTGCTGGATCCTTAGCAAGCGTATACCACACTTTTGCGATCACTCCTCGCACAACAAATCACAGCCTACAACCCTTGTCTCTTTTTACTCTGTTCACTTTTTTCAGTTTTCTTTCTTCTCTTTCATTTGTTCTCTGCTCTTTCTTCTATTGTTTCTTTTCCAAGTTCTCTTTCCTCCCTTTTCTCTGCTCTCTTCTTTCTTCTTTCTTCTATCTTCCCTCTGCTCGCTGTCTCTCTCCGCTCTCCTGTCCACTGTCTCGCACTCCTCTCCACAGCTCTGAAGGCCGGGACGCTCCTGTCGGGACTCAGGTCTCGGGACTCGGGGCTCACACCGCCAGGGTCGGGACTCGGACCGCCAGGGTCGGGCCGGCCGGGGTCAACGCTCGCTCGCGCGGCCGGCGCTCGGCCCGACCCCACGGGCAGCGCACTGTAGGCCGGCAGCCTGAAAAAGCGCTAGAAATTCCCCCAAACTGACTGTCCGCAATATGAACAAAATAGGTATCATTTAATCCCGAATTGATCGAAGAATACGATTCCGATGCTAGTTTTGCCCTAAGGTCAAAATTGAGGTCGTCAGTTGTCATCAAACACAAGACAATTTAGGCTCTCTATAGGCCACCACATTTACCGATTTTAATGATGAACTTTGGTGGTAATTTTTTAGTTGACCAATCGTCGTTTTGAACGAAATTTGCTGTCAGACTAGTTCAGGGCACTGTTGTTCACTGTGCCAACATCATTCTGACATATTGCATCGCTTTTCTGCAAGATAAGCTAGCTGTTTGCAAGCAGCTGCAAGACGTAATTTAAAATCATATCCAATTTTTTAATTAGACTTTTATAAAAACGTTATTTCGGGCGGCTAAAAATGAACATTTTATACTAGCCTCTGATTACTCATCTTTTGTTCCATATAGGTGCTTTGCTGCTTTTCCCTGCTACTTTTCGAGATATGCGCCAGTAAACCACATGATGTAGGGGCAATTGTCACCTCGCCGCTCTACTGAAGGCCCGGCGCTCTTTAAAACGCTGGAAGTTGTGAAAAACAAACGCTTATAATCTAAATAAAATATATGTCCCTGAGCTCAGAATTGATCAACGCACACAATGCTGTCAACATTTCTGGGCCAAACTAAAAAATTCAGTCATTATTAACCCCTAAACACAAGTCAGTGATAATCAACAACAACTTGCTCTTTAGGTAAACTTTTTGAGAAATGTTATTTCGAGCCGCTAAAAATGGCCATGCCATACAGACCACCAATCATCTTTCTGTCATGCCCTACTCGCAATTTTTGCTAATGCCTGCTACTCTTCAAGGTCACGTGACCTCACCATTAAAAGTGAATGGGGAAATAAGGAAACTGTTGTTTTTGCGCATGGAATGATTTCAAACTATCTCAAGCACACGGAATCGTGATTTCGTGCACTCCTTGCAAGATCCGATGCTTTACTTTTGCATTTTTTACCTTCCGTGACGTCATTTATGACGTCACACCGGTCATATGAGTTTCTCGTCAATAACTCATGATGAAATTGAGCCAGCGACTCGGGAAAGTCACCAATGGACTCGGGAAGACCTCCCGAATCGAATGATATGCGATACGACCTCCTTCGATTAAGTTCGTGGCCTGATGGGCTCTGAACTGACCTTGACTCGAGGTCAATACCTTAAGTTGACCTCACCCGAACAAAAAGTATACCATTCGACGCACCTGAGCCAGGCGAACACGATGGTGCCAAAATCGCTGCTCTGCGGCCATTTTTTGCGAAATTATTTGCCAAAAACAAAACTCTATCTTGGGCTTTTTGACTTCACCTCAGAGGTTACCGGTTGACCTTGGGCCTTAAAATCGGGTATCAATCGTTCCGCCTTGAAACGGCGCACACGCTTGTTTTTTCCGCGAGGCTCTAGCTCCATTAGGGGCGAAACGGCAAAAAGGGGTCGTACCAACCCTCCCCCCCTCGGCCGGCCGAGGGGGTGGGGGGTCCGACAATAGGTCCGGCGAGGGTTAAGCAGCCCCACTTCGTTTTTAGCATGTTTGCTTGTCACTGAGATCAACAACTCAATCACAAATAATTTCTAGCACTTTTCCGGACCCCCGGCCCAGTGTGCAGCGGCGGCGGTGGAGAAAGGTTATACGCGCCGTGCTGATGGTATAGCGTAGGATGGCAGGCCGCCATGTGCTACCAATATTGCATCTGGGGCTATAAGCACGCAAAAATACGTGACGAAATAAGTCAGTCTATATTTTTTTCAATGCAGGCACAGACCCGTAAAATCAATTTTCTATATAATGATTAACAGGTTGATTTAGGATTATTGAATTATTTTTGTCTTTTTTTAGTGTTGCTGTGAAGACAAAACGATACTACTCTTTTCGTCAACCCAAAATTCCTCCCAGTTCCGCATTACATTGACCTTGAGCCCTGTGTGTATCCCGTGACCTTGAACCCGCACCCTCTCCCCTCACCCTTCCACCGTCCCACACCAGCAGCCCTTCCCCTCCCCTTCCCCACCAATTCTGTCCCTTTTCCACCACCGATGATTCGGCAATACGGACGTGGCGCCGGCCCAATACCGACGCCCTGTAGAGCGTTTCGCGCCAGAGACGATTCTGGCGCGATATTGCATTCCGGCGCAGTGCGAGGTGGAAAAATGAAGGAGACGGCGGCACTGGATCGAGCGGCGGGAGTTGGTATAGTTGGTATAAGGGGGAGTATGGGGATAATTTGGCGGAATGCTTTCGGTTGAGATGAGATGGCCAGAGGCACTCCGAAATGTAAATTAATTCAAGGCAATATCAGGAAAATATTTAGTAATGTGGTCATGAATAGCAATCAACTCGCACAAAGGTTTGCTTATAAGAAAAATACATTTAGAAAAATAGCCCAACAAGCATCTGAACAACCAGCTGATCAAAAAATTATTTTCTCGATAGCAAATACAGATCAAAGCAACTGTGCACACAATGATGTTAGCTGGTCTGCCGTAATTTAAAGCAGCAAAACGGTCTTTTACATTCGCATTCAGTTGATCCACATTCAAAATGACACTTATCACATCTTGCAATCAGTCACCAGTGTGTTCCGGTTGCTACTCGAAACTGCGGCTTCCGCACATTATTCTTGATTTACGATATTGCTTGTCATTTGGGAGCAGTCTCATCAATGATCCCCTCCAGAATCTTGCGGGAAAGTGAAGTTATCTGTTGTAATTTAAAGTCATTCGTTGTTGGGGAAATCAACCGAGCTACATTCCAAGAAAGTGTATATCTAGAAGGTTCTGAGGCATAAGAACAATGTAAGTTGCTATGCAAAAATTATCTTGCGATGATGTATGCATTTGTAACATTTATCTACATGCTCGCATAGCGACGGCTGCCGTTAGGCTGATTTTCTTGGTAGCTTCGTCCTTCTATTCAACATCAGCTTAAGTTACACAAAATGCCTCATTGTTTGATCTTAAGCTTTTCGTCGCAAAATGTGTGCCTTCCATCTTATTTGAATCATTATTGCTTCGCAAAACTCTGCCATCTAAGTGGACAAAAAGGTGGACATCTAAGTGGACCTGTAATGTGCGTGATATTGTATCGCGAAAATTGATGCTTCTTCTGAGACATATCTAAGGACCGTATACCTACGTCCTGTTTCTTCTTCTTATAGCTCAATTGGCGATCGCATGCAGATGATTCACCGCAGTGTAGGTGGATTCTGCACTGAAACATAACGCACTTAAAAAGAATGTACTTCTTGCCCGTTTCACCGTATTCCGATTCCTCCCTCCTCCATGTCTCTGATTTCCGAGTTGAGTTCGTCTCTGCAGTGTGGCCCGGGCAGCGGTAAGGCGCCCTCGAGTCGCCGCGGGGCGGGCGGGCGCCTGCGTCTCTCAGATCGATTGAAGTCCGTCACCGACTCGTGGGTGAGACCCGGGTCACTCGTGAGCGGGCAGAGTGACCGTTGGCTGCGACGGACCGACGGACGGGGGACGGAGAGCGCGACACGCTGCCACGGAGGACACGCGTCGCCCACCCAGGGAGAACACTCACTGAGGGAGGACACGCTCGCTGAGGGACGACACGCCCAGTGCGGCAGGACACGCCCATTTCGGGCGGACGGGCAGTCCTCGTGGTGGAGTGGTGCGTGTGCTATGCGTGGTGTCAGAAGCGAGATGATGAGATTGAGATATGATTGAGGTGGATATTATCGTGACGCTCGTTAAACAGTTTTACTAGCTTAAAAAAAAATCATTTTTTCATTTCAATGTACTGGTTCCGGGCATGCATTCAGTAAAAAACGTTCATACGTCTTTCACACAGATTGTGTAAACGCAAAAGAAACAACGTTGCCCGGTAACATTAACGAAATCCCGATAATATCTGCCCTCGTACTGTACTTCCAGGTGAGGCATCCACAGTGCGTGCGTGGCAAGTGCTAGCTTAATGTGCATCAGTGAGTTAGTGGCAATACCTACTGTGTGAGCTTATCTTGTGAAAATATCGTTAAAAAACCGCCTGACACTCAGCTCATCATCGCCCGTCACTTCCTTCTCTCAACTCAGGTAAGTTTCGCCGTCGGGGTCATCGCACGATCAGCGAGCAAAGCCGATGTGTATTACCCGTGTCTTCTCCCAAAAATGGAGCCGGAATGTCTTTTTTTTTAGCTCTGAGCACACAGACAAACAACTGAGGTCAAAGTTGTAGCAACAGGTAGACCAAGGGAGAAGTCGTCATGGCCGAAAGTGAAACAATGGTGAGACTGCAGCGCGTGCTACCTGCGTCCTGCCGTAACAAATGAGCATGCAAATTGTACATGCGGACATAACAAACAGTCTCAGATACATCATACAGTCCTGCAGGAAAGCAGTGTATCATAAAATCTGAACATGATGTCTTCTCAGACCAGCTACACACTTGAAATAAATACATGATGAAGATCCACTAACTTCTAGAATAGACTGTTGTTAATCGACAGCAATCACCTAAACAGTCCCGCAACATAAAACCATCACGTGATTGGCTGTTGAAGACAGAACTGGACTTTTTACGGTAGCACAGCGGAGGTTTTGTCCAGCACTGATTACAAGCCTCAATGGAGCTTAAAGGGCACGGCCCTGTCGGGTCGGTCAGGCCTAAAGCAGAAACGATCGGTCCGACCATTATCAGGTCATTTGAAACCACAAAACGACCGAGCAATAACAGTGAATCAAATATTGTACGATATTGTTTGGGTCGTCGTAGCTGAGACTAATTTATCAGAATTTTATTTACAGGGTGCTTAGAGGTTAAAAGTAACTATCATAATAGCTTGCATTGATCACATTTAGGAATTTTATTAAATTATTAAAACTTCTGTACTGTCCATACCATTTTGATGTTTGTTTTTGACTTGATGTCTTTACTTTTTATCATTTTTATTTTTGTTTTTGTTAATGCTTTTTTGTTGTATGGTAGTTATTTGCTGTTATCACCTCTTTCCTCTTCCATGGTTCTCTTGTGAGCTAAGATTCATTTATGTTGATTGTTATGATGATGTTGATACTGATGATTAATTGCTTGATTTATTTATTTATTTATTTATTTATTTATTCATTTATTTATTGTTTGTTTGTTTGTGATAGGACGATGCTGGTGATTTTGGAACAATGCTGATTTACTGCATCATACACAAACCAATATTTTTCTCTTTATTTCCTTCAAGATTTCGATTCCATTTTTGTGATTTCTGCTCAACTAACCATGAAACTATTCACCTTTTTTCTAGACACCCTCCAGAACCGCGCACCAAACCGACAAAACCGTCCTTGGGCCGTCTGCCCTTGAAAGGTCGTCGGCCCGGTAACCCTTCCTCTCCGGCCGGGCCGCCCCGCTACCCCTCCCCGAACGGGGTAGGCGCCCGTCGTATGGGCATCTACTGAACCAGAGCGGCCATGGGCTCAACGGGTTAACCGGCACCAGCCGGTCACTGACGTCTCTCGTTAATCGGACATCTCGCCGGCCATTCAGCCGGTGTCGGCGTCCCGATTATCGAGCCGGGCGAGTTCAAAGGATGGGTGAGAAAAACTCGCCGATGGGTGAGAAAAACTCACCCTTGCCCCGGCCACCTGGCTGCGCGCTTTGTTCGCCGTTTGATTCGTCAAAGGGCCCGGCTGAATCGAAGGAGAGCGATGAAAACGATACAGCTCAGCGGAATTATACTCCCGTGTGAAATGTCGCGGCTCGCGGCGCGAGGGATGGCGCTATTGAAACGGGCACGTAGATGATTTATATCGGATAGAGCCATTGACACCGGGGGAGGTATTCTGACATTCTGTTCGATACCGGATTTTTTTAAGGAGTTTTTTTTTAGCTCGGTTGACTGTGCTCACTGAACCTGAGATAGTAGGTACTGGATCGAATGGCAGTTTTGGTGGAGAAGTTGCATCAATTCGCTCCACTATGGTTTTAGGATTGGTGGGGAGCCTAAAAATCAACATCCCTAAACATTAGGCTGCATTACGGGAGTGAAACTATTGGGGGGGGGGGGCGTCCGGATACCCTTGACTACGCTGATGGCGGAGCTCTTGCATTAGTTGACTTTTTTCTTGGCATCATGCGAAAACGATCATATACTTTTCCATATGCATTTATGGCGCAGCATTCTCCTGCATATACGCATTACGCATATAAACCCATGTCCCTGATCCCTACCTCTCATATTGCCAAAAGATGCCTTTCCATTAGGATATCATAAATCACCACGCTTAGTTAGATCTACCACCACTAGATGACAGGACAGGCGCAATCTTCACTCGTCGAGCACCACTCTCTCAGTGTAGTTCGCTTCACCATCAACAGGTGGCAGTGCATACAGCAGGCGCGTGTAGCCCTTTCGTGGACGCAGCGTAGCTAAACTGGCATGCGTTGGGCCTTATCAAGGGCGGCGCCACCGTGGGGGCAGTGGGGGCAGACTGCCCCCACTGACAGGAGGCCGTGGGGGCAAGACTATGTTTTTGCCCCCACAAAAATTGGCTGATGTGGAAAAGGGAACAGAAGACCGGTGCAACATTCATGATAGGCGGTTATACCTAATAGTACGCTTGTTTTTGACGATTCCCGTATCAAGTGCATCAGCAGAAAGTTCGTTCTCAGACCGTCTGTTGCATATCTCCTACTCCCACTCATTCTTCTACTCATTTTGATCCACCAGAAGGCTGCCATGTGATAGGTATGTATATATCCGGGTTATTTGGAAATGTATGTGGGTCACCCTAATGAGCTTACTCTGGTATATCAATCGTGTGTGAGAGAATCGCACGTATTGATATACGTACTACGCCTACGGGAAAAGGGAAAGTTCTGTTTTGCCTAGTTCAGTACCTAGTCAGTACCTAGTTCTAGGTACGTACTGACTATTGTTTTGAGGAATACACCATTTTACATCTCAACGAGCAACATAACGTTTTCACAGGTCTTTGTGTCTCGCAATCTTAGTTTTATAGTTTTATTTACTCGCGACCTTAAGCCGGCCGGGCCCGGGGGGTAATCCCAACCACCGCAGCCCGGGGTACCTGTTGTGTTCTCGCGTATCAAGCAACAGCTCACTTTTCTTCCTGCTTCCTCGTGTATTCATTGTAACGCGCAATTCCCCCAATACCAACTCAGTGCCGCACCATTCTCCTATCTCCGGCCAACAGCTGATCGCAGTCAGCTGCTCCTGACCCCTAGTGCCATCTAGCGCAGCTGATCGCCATCAGCCGGTGCACACTGCCGGTGCCAGTGCCATCTATCGGCAAACCCAACATCGTCCCCCTCTGAAATATACAATGCATAGGTACAGTACAGAACGCAGCGCAGAACAAACACATACAGTCGCTCAGTGATAAGTCAGCCTATCGGGCTCCCGTCTGCTACGCTCCGGGTACCGACGAGCTGGAGGCACCGCCACCGTCTCCGCCCGGCTCGGCCCTCCCACGTCTACAGGCCACAGAACATCTGCATCCTCATTTGCTGGTAAGGACCGCGCAGTCACTAGTCGCCGGGCATGCACCCGCTGACCGTCCGACAACTGATAGCTCACTGGCCCTGTGCGCCGCACCACACGAAGGACCTCACCATACACACGCGCCTTGGCTACCGGATCTCTCACACGCACCAAATCTCCGACTTCCCATGTGGGTAACAGAGTTCGCCGACAACGTGCATTGTGCCTGTTTACATACCGGCTTTGATATGCATTCACACGATCCCGCACGCGAGCGTCGTTCACATGTTCAGCAGGCACTACACTCGAGTCTACACGCGTACGCATTCGTCTGCCCCCACGCATCGCCTCGAATGGCGAAATACCAGTAGCAGAATGAGGCGTGCTCCTGTACACCTGAAGGAATGATCGGACATGAGCAGCCCTTGGCTTTCCCATCAGGCGTGCCGTCGCCACAGACTCCTTGATAGTGCGATTTAATCTCTCGACCATCCCACATGTCTGCGGTGAGTAGGTAGAGCTACGTGCATGTGTAATATTGTAAGAACGCAACCAGTCCTGAAACTCCTTAGAGCAAAACTGAGGTCCATTATCTGTCTGGAGCTTGGAAGGTACTCCTTCCCGTGAGAACACGGCTTCTAGAAACTCAATCACCTGGGTAGATTTCACCTCGGAAACAAACGCCACTTCAGGCCAACGACTATACACATCGACTAGAACCAGACCAAAACGCTCACTAGCTGGACCGGGCAGGGGTCCAATGATATCACACTCTAGGTGCTGCCACGGCCCGGGCGGTAGAGGTATTGCCTGCAGAGGAGGACTACAGGGCACTGCCGACTTTGAATGAACCGCACAAAGCTGGCAAGACCGCAGCGCCTCATCAACCTCCCGGCTAGCACCCGGCCACCAGTACCTGTCACGTAATCTACGTTTAGTTCGCACCAAGCCCTGATGCGTCTCGTGGGCGAGCTGCACCACACGACGTCGCAAAGTCGTCGGCACAACCAGTCTGTCACCACAAAAGATCAGCGAACCCTGGCAACTCAACTCCATTCTAACCGAAAAGTATGGCTGCAGCTCGGGTTCTGCCGAGCATCGGCGAGGCCATCGCCCTGACTGTATATGACCTCTAAGCAACTGAAAAGTACTATCATCTGCACTATACTGTCGCCATTCAGACTCTGATATGGCGTTAGGAGCACCATTGTCACTGTACAGCGCTGCTATCTCAATACTATCGTCATCCTCCCACTCAGAGTCCCTAACAGGTAGGCGGGACAGACCATCCGCCACGCCGTTCTGGGCCGATCGCACATACTCAGTGTCAAAACTGTACGCCAGAAGCCTCGCTTCCCAGCGCGCGATACGTCTCCCTGCACGTGTTGAACCTTTGGGCCCAAATATCGTACACAACGCCTGGTTATCTGTACGAAGTAGAAAACGGCGTCCCCAGAGAAACGTGTGCCATTTCTCTACCGCCCATACACAACATAAGGCTTCCTTCTCCACTGTGCTGTACGACCGCTCCGCTGCAGAGAGCGAACGTGAAGCGTAAGCGACCACACGCTCCTCACGACCCTTGAACTGACTAATGTAAGCCCCGAGGCCTACGTCACTTGCATCAGTAGTGACTACAGTAGGTAAGCTCGGATCAAAAAGTGCTAATGATGGGGACCTAATCACCGCCTGTTTGACCTCACTGACCAGTCTAGACAGATCAGTGGACCACTCGAATGGTTCCCGCTGGACCGCTCGCCGTAGCGGTTCGACCATCGTGGAAAACTGCGGTACGAATTTAGAGTAGAACCCGACAGCGCCAAGGAATGACTGCAGTTTGGCAGCACTGTCTGGCTCTGGTGCCTCAGTCAGTGGAGCAAGACGCTCAGGGTCCAGTTCAACCCTGCCTTGAGAGACGATGAAGCCCAAAAAATGAATGCTCCTAGCACTCTGCACGCACTTCGCATGGTTCACTTGTACGTTATGTCGCCTGAAAACCTCCAGCACCTGCGCTACTCGGCGATCGTGCTCTACTTGAGTCGCAGCATGAACTACTACGTCATCAAGGTAGACCTCTACTCCATCTATACCGCGGAGCATATCGTTCATGATCCCCTGGAATGCCGGTCCACTGGACGCGAGACCAAATGGACACCTCACATACCTAAACAGCCCTTCGTGCGTGATAAATGCCGTCAGATCCCGCGACCTTGGGTGTAATTCCACCTGATGGTACGCATCCTTTAAATCGAATACTGAGTACACAGCAGACCCATGAAGACGCGAGAGCACATCATCCATATGTGGGATCGGATACGCATCAGTAATGACAGCACGGTTGACCTGTCGCATGTCAACACAAATCCGAATAGACCCATTTCTTTTCTTTCCCACTACAATCGGAGAGACCCAAGAACTCGCATGTATACGCTCTATCACCCCTTGTGATTCTAGTTCTCTGAGACGAGCACTAACCTCATCACGAACCGAGAGAGGAAGGCGCCTCAGGCCCTGTCGTACAGGTGGAATCGTCGGGTCGATCGTGACCTCATGCTGGTACCCACTGATCGGTGAGCTGACACTGTCTCTGTGAGCCGGCTCGGCTGTCTGACTGGAAACTCCACTCTGTTTTGCAGACACAGCACACACTTCAGTATCTACGATATTGACACCAAACTCTCTCATAAGGTCAAGTCCCATCAACGGCCTACCATGTGGCACCACATACACTTTCACCATCTTTGTGACGTCACGGCAAGTTACATTTACACTGCATGTACCCAGCACCTGCAAGTATGCACCTCCATATGACCTTAGTGGGGTGTCACTCCTCTCCAGCAAGGCATCCTTGACCAGGAATTTAGGTACCACAGACACTGGAGACCCTGTGTCCACTACCATTTCACCTGACCTGCCCTCAACAGACACTGGTATTGTCAGCTGTCCCCTCTTTGTAGCACATATAGACATAAGTGTCACTGCATTTACACCAGCCACTGTTCGACGACCTCGACAGACACCTGCCAGATGATTACGCTTCCCACAGTTCTGACAGATGTGCCCCCTAGCAGGACAAGCGGGGGACTTAGCATAGTGTCCCAACTGCCCACAGCAAAAACAAGTGGGTTCCCTCTCCCTCAAACCTGGCTGAGTAGCAGGCAGAGTAGATCTAGTAGCACTAGCGGGCTGATTTGCTGTAGAAGCTGCCTGCCTGGGCGGTGCTCGTGCCGGCTGGGCATGGAGCCCAGGTCCAGGCCGTCTCGCTGAAGCAGCTGGATGCACTGGCCCAGCTCGGGCACCTGGACCGGAACCACCCCGTCGACCACCAGGTTGCTGGAGAAGCCGAACTTCTGCAGGAGACCTGTGCTGCAACGCCTGGGCCTCCCTGTCAGCTGTTTCGACTGTTTCCGCCAGCTGCAGAGTTTTGGTAAGAGTCAAATCACTCTCCATCAGCAAGCGTTGACGTAGCTTGCCAGATACTGTTTTCTCCACGACTTGATCACGGATAAATTCATCAGTTTTGTCACCATAGTCACAGGACACAGCCATTTGTCGTAGTACACTGACCCACTGGGCTGTGCTCTCAGAACTCAACTGACCTCTGCTGCGGAACCGATAACGTTCTGCCACTATATTTGTCTTGGGCACAAAGAACTCTTGCAGCTTCCTTTTCGTATAAGCCATTTCAGTTTCATTCTCTGTTTTTACCAGTTCAGGCAAATTCTGGTAAATCCGTTGGCCCTCAAGGCCTAAGCAGTGCAGTAAAATGGCTTTCTGGCGCCCTGGGGGAAAGGTATCACCCCCATTGCAAGAAGGTAATTATCAAAAGCAGCTATCCACTGCACCCAGGGCACTCGCGGCTCACCTGGGGTGGGCAAGAAGGCAGGTGGGGCGCCAGCCAGTAGATCCATATCAATATTCGCACCGAAAAATACAGATCTTGAGAAGCAGGAGAAATATCAAGGCACACCAGCAGAAAGTAGTGCCACAGTAAAGCAAAGGCAGTTCGATCACTCGTCGCCACTTTTGTTGTGTTCTCGCGTATCAAGCAACAGCTCACTTTTCTTCCTGCTTCCTCGTGTATTCATTGTAACGCGCAATTCCCCCAATACCAACTCAGTGCCGCACCATTCTCCCAAGGCCCTAAATACAAGGTTGCACGGACTTATTTCTACTAAACCTACCAGAATATAGTTTCACGGTTGATTATTTAAATAATTATTCAATCAAAATTTCTTTATTATTATCTCGTAATCATTTATAAGCAATTTTATAAATCAACTTTCAATTTGCTTGCCTTTTACTAGCAAAATAACTTTTCTAGTATTGGGTCAACATAGTGGTGTAGCAGTAGGAACCACATCTGGCAAAACCCCAATGCCTACATACAGCAGAAAAGCAGCCACCAGGTGTCGCCACAGTCGCCACTTGGTCGCCACACAGATGTCGCGCGCGTCGCCAATCGCCACACTACCGATTTCCATACGGACGCATATGTACGGATATGTATAGGAAAGTCGCCCTTAAGGATTACGCTTACATCCTTTGCTTATGAGGTCGGTGGTTGGAAATTGGGAGGGGCTCAGCTATTTTCGACCACGGATATGCCTTTATCACATGATGAGGA